TCTGTGCCTCCCTCCCCACAACACTAAGCTGAATGGAATATCAGATCAATAAAAGTACAATTAGAGAGGACTAAATCATATCTTTAACATCTCTCAGTTTTCACTAAATAATTTTTTTCTTAAAATAATTTTAGTCTACTTCTAAGAAATTATTTTATGATGGTGGCAATAGTGTAGGCCAATTATAATTTGCTATATTAAGAGTAATACTTTTAAATTACGATTCAGCAAATTATTATACAACATAAAGGTTTTCTTGCAAGAATTCTAGCTAAACTGCCCTAGTCAAAACAAAAAAATTCATTTGTAGCACAGCATTTGTAGCTTTTTCAATGCCATTTGTTAAAATCAATCTCAGCAATATATCTGTATAAAGTTTTGAATTCTTCATAAATAATGTAGGAAAAGGAGGGATAAAACAAAACAGTGCTGATCATAATCCCAAAAGACAATCCCAATTGCCATAATCCCAAATGTTGAAATCCCTAAAGATCAAAATCCTTAAAGTTTAAAATCCTTAATGTCTAAAATCTTGAAAATCACAATCCCAAATGTTGAAATCCTGAAAGCCAAATCCTGGGGAAGGGATTAGTGTGTTTTTGGTTGTACAAAGGATAGTTGCATCATGTTTGTTGCATCATGTTAGGCAGACCTATTACCATGTTATTGTATTATTTGGAAATTATGTATGGTTTAAGGAGATGCATACGGGTGCCAAGTTGACAAGGGGTGGACTTGTAGACTTAATTTTAGGTGTCAACCTGACTGAATTAAGGAATACCTAGAAACCTGGTAAAGCACTGTTTTGGGTGTGTCTGTGAGGGTGTTTCCAGAGGAGATCAGTGTGTGAGTCTAAGTGGGCTAAGTGGGAAACATCTGCTCTCAATGTTGGCAGGCACCATCCAATCAGCCAGGGGCCCAGAGAGAACAGATACAGAAGATGAATTGTCTCTTGAGAGCTGGGGCAGACTTTTATTCTGCTGCCTTGGACATCAGAACTCCAGGCTCACTGGCCTAATTATTAACGGTGCTGTGAAAGCAGAAAATTGCTTAATTACAACAGCCAACCAACAACTAGACTTTCAAATGGACAGCATATACTTACAAAATTTGCAGACCACAACCACTTTCCAACTACAAGTGCAGCAAGTGTTTCAAAAATCAGAGAAGTGAAAATACAGGCGAAAAATACAAGAAATATCCCCTGCCAAATTATTCAGTGGTGTACGACTTCTGCCCCTTCACACATAGCACCATGCCCTTTGTCAGAGAATAAAAAGAATTCAAGCCGGATGTGGTGGCTCACACCTATAATCCTAGTACTTTAGGAGGCCAAGGGTGGAGGATCTCTTGAGGCCAGTTCGAGACCAGCCCAAGCAAGATCAAGACTGCCCTCCCCCTACAAAAAGTAGAAAAATAAGCCCCACGCCTGCCTGCAGTCCCAGCTGTTTGGGAGGCTGAGGCTTGAGTCCAGTAGTTTGAGCTTGCAGTGAGCTATGATGAAGCCACTGTACTCTAGCCGGGGCAACAGAGCAAGACCCTGTGTCTCAAAAAAAAAAAAAAAAGAATTCAACAAGCTCAGTGATCTTCTGAACTTCTGAACTTGTTGATATAGAGGTTCTTCCAGTGTTACAAAACATATTAAATGATGAGCTATCCTTGGTTAGGGATCTGACAGTTCAAGAATATAGATTTCTTATATTTACCACTAAATCTAACATAGAAAAAGCTAGTGTATACTTCACTTCGGCTAATGGATAGCACTTTCAAAACTATCCCCACTGTTTTTTATCAAGTATATACAATTCATTCCCCTGTTGGACCCCAAAATTCTAGAACTTATTTGCTCATTTAGGTATTAACGACTACAAAAAGTATTTTATAAATATTCATTTGAAGATTTGGTAGACTTTGTAGAAGAAAGCAGATTTCCATTGAATTGCCTAAACCATAAAAACAGGTTTGGAATTAGGTGTGATCATGGCTGCTAAAAGTGAATTTAAAGGTGCTACCAATACTTTGTTTTTCCCATTCAGCCCAATGCATTTGATGGAAAATTCAGATGAGTGGATTGGCCACATGGTATGGCAACCATGAAAACTTCAGTTTAAAAATGTGTCTTTTGTCTGCAC